GATCTACAGAGTTTAACTTGTAATTTTCGTATTGCATGAAGTAATTATGACATATGATTTTCTAAAATAGGAAAAAAGTGATAACCATAATACCTTCTAAAATAGGAAATAATATAGCGCACCAAAAAGTCGAACGCAACCATCCCTCCACATTTCATGTGATCGTACTGGTATAATTAGTACAGCCAATCAGAAGTGGTGTGGAAAATTAGTATATCCACAGGGCGATCATTATTGCGAAATCAATTGAATCACATGTTCAATTTGCAGTTTTTACCTTTATTATTATTGGTTTTTGTGTATAGTCCTTATTGTATCTTGTTCGATGCAGGTATTGCATATGATTGTGGAAGATATGTAGCTTTCTATCTTCCGAACTTTTAAGTTATTGATATTATTCTTTTTATATTGCATACTTCAAATACAACATTCGTTATACTAACTGTACGTAGACCTTTAGTACACCGTTAATTGATCGACTCTTGCTTAGTAATCTACCAGCTTGGCTATTCCACAGAGGATGTCGTATCGTACCAGACACTACCACACCTTTGTATTTCATTAAGTTGAGGTTTAAGATATAGCGGGTTAATAAATTCCCCTGATTTTAGTTTAGTTAGTAAAGTTTGGATTTTATGTACAGCTATATTTATTAATTATAGAATTTTTTTCTAATGAGATTGAATTTTTTTTTCTTACTGGCAATTTTACCAAGTTCATAAGTGATTCGAACCATTCTTTAATGAAATTAAATTTTTATTCATTTATTAATTTTATTATTTTTTCGGTTAATGCTATAAAAATATTATTAAAAAAAAAATAATAAAATCATCATGATAAAACAAATCTCTAATATTAATAAATAGTACATAATAACATAATAATTAAAAATATAATTCATAAGCTAAAATTAAGCTAATTTTTTCTCTTTTTCTTTTTTTTTTACTGTAAAGTTATTTTGATTGTAAAAGTTGCTTTTTATGTTTTTATCTGCATTGATTTCTCATGAAAAATACAATAGCGATAATCACTACTATTGCAAGAAAACTCGCAACAGTTAGACCAATGATTAATCCGGTATTTGCTCCTTGTGGTGGTGATGGGGAGGTTGATGGTGGATTTGTAGGCATAGGGCAACTAGAATTATTAGGTGCAAAAATGTTTACCCATGAAAAGCAATTGACATCCAATAAATATATTTTTGGACTGGTTTCATATGATGGTGTTGCATTATTGGTAATGTTGCCTAGATATATTTAAAAATTTTGTTTTAATTTTGTTTATAATAAATAAAATTAATGTTGAAAACAATTACCGAAGCCAATGATCAGATAATTTCGGTACAGTGTGGAAGTGTGAAATGACAAGGCAGGAGGTTGGTCTCCAGTAGTGTTTAGTTCGGAATATTGATAAGGTTCTGTTGTGATGTTTAACATCAAGTAATTAGGGAAAGGAATAGTTTGCTTTAATTGATAACCTAAAAAAAATAAAATAAAGAATAATAATAATAATTAATTGAATTCATTTGTCAAAATTACGTAACAAATTTCATATGTACTTGATGTTCCGCCTATTATAATAATTGATTTATTATTTGGAGTTAGTGTTGCCGTATGAGCAACTCTAGGCTGGACTAAAAATGGCGAGGTTGCATTCTGGGAATAGAATATAAAGATAGTATTATTAAAATTAAAACCATACAAGTTGGCAATTATTTTAAAAAATAAAAATACTGATAATTCACCTTCACTGACCAACTCGAAGAAATTGTATCGAATATGGGAATCTGTAATGAGAGTATCCAATCTATTTTCCTATTTGCGCTTATACCATAAATAAATATATTGCAAATTAATAAACGACAACCTACCTCTGTCATTGATAGCAAAGTTGTATTCATTCCAGGTGCTGGTTGGGTAACACCACCAATATAAAGAATCTTGCCATCCGGAAGTAATATTGGAGCAGCATGACTTCTAACTGAAGGTGCATTAATTGCATTTATTTGTTTCCATATTAACAAGTTTGTGTCAAAAGTATACATGTCATTATATAAAATAAGTGTGCGTGATGCCATATCAAATTCAACCCTTCCTCCAAATATATAAATAATTCCATTCTTATCAATAACAGTGGAAGTTGATCTACGTCTAGTCGGTTGAGTTCCTACAACACCTTGTCCAAGTTGTCTCCAATCTCGTGCCGTATGTCTATAAATAAAAATCATTTGATCTGTCGGGTTGTAAGTCTTAAATATTTCTTCTATCATTAACGTTTGATTCGAAGTTATAGTTATATTTTGATCAATTTTATTAAGAAGTGCAAGGTCTTGTTGCGTACCCCCAATGAGATACGCATCTTCCTTGCTTGCACCACCAAGTACTATTGTTCCTAGATCGTAAATGAAGGAATGTGAGTATACACAGCATGTTAAATACTATATTCCATAATAATTAACTGTTTACCTTTTTCATTTCCAAATTTCATTCGCGCACCAGTGCCAGAAAGATCCACAAATGGAGGATCATTTGTAGAGAATGTGCCTGAAAGATCCAAGAAAAAGACTTCATCTGATAAATTATATCCTCTTATCTGGCTCTTAATGGGATTTGAGGATGGAATTATGCGAGATCCTCCCATAAAAAATAATTGAGTCCCTATTAGTACAGCTTCTTGGCCAGCTCGACCTTCTGGTATAAAATTACCAGCACTAATAACATTATATGGGAAAACTATTACGAAAAAAATAATTTTTATTAAAAGATTTAGTTTTGAATTCCAAGTTGAATTCATCATCATCAAATAAAGAGATAATGTTAATTCAATGTAAATTTATTAAAATACCAATAAATAAAGCACAAACACAAACATTTTATAAACTTAAATAACAATAATTCGATCACTTGCGAATGAGATTCGTGAAAAAAAGGGACAAAAAATTTTCAGCACAAATGAAATTTATCATAGCATTTGAAAAACTTAGACATTGGAATAATTAAGTTTGTACATAGACCATGTATATCAATAACGTTATCTCCTTTATTATTATTCCAAATATATCTTTTAATTATGTTACCTTATATGAAAGAAGTATTTTATTCCTTATCATTATTTGTGAATAATTAAATTTTCTAGAAAATGACCAACTATTGCTAATAAATTTAATCCGTAGTCTTCTGGTGTAATTATTATCAAATTATCATATTGGAATTTTTAATTTTTTAATTCAAATTACTCTTTATGTAAAAATGTGTTAACAGAAATTAATGATCTTATACTGTTATTGTTGCAATTTTCATTTTTTTTGGATTAATTTGTGCATCATTATTCGTTTTTTAACAAGATTTTCAAATACAATTCATTAATTAATTTTAATACACCTTTATGTGAACAAATATCGTAAAAATGCGTGTCATAGACCCACAATGAATTGGACCCCTATGCAAACTACAAGACCTTGATTAATCAAATATGGTTTTTTTTTCAAATAGCTGGGCTACCTATTATAAATATAAAATGAGCATGCACTTTAAATTTTTTTCTTTTAACGAAATAATCTCTCAGCTGTGTGCTATACCGGGGTCTATTGAAAGTTTTAAATTTATAGAATGTATTAAACCCAAGTTTTTCATATGCACTTTTGCGGTAATTTTGCTTTTTTTATAATTTTATTCTATGAAAATAATCTCTCAGCCGTGTGCTATACCGGGGTATATTGAAAGTTTTAAATTTATAGAATGTATTAAACCCGAGTCTTTTATATGCACTTTTGCGGTAATTTTGCTTTTTTTGTTATAATTTTATTCTATGAAAATGAGTGTCACTACTCTATACTAGGAAAGTCATAGTGAAACTGAATTTAACAATAAAATGGACCTAAAAAATTCCAAGACTAATTAGGTAACACATTGAGCCGAGTAAAGGGAATTTACACTACGAATACAGTACTGTATTTTCATGAAATTATTCGCAAACGTATTTTGCATTAACTTGCAGATATGTATATATTTTTGAAAAATAACGGAAATTTTTTTCGTTGGAGTTAGTGTCACTCTATATGCTGCTACGCAGCATATGAGTGAAATTAACTTCGATGAAAAAATTTTCCGTTATTTATCGTAATGCCAAATAACGATTTATATATGACCGTTTGAAGTTACTGTATTCCCATGATATTTTGCACAACTGATCAAAAAATATCATAACAAAATTCATATGATCATTTCAAATGTCGGACAAATAATTTTTCTTGTACCCATAAGTTGTGTTGGTACATACGTACGTACGTACGTATATGATGTATCTGAAGTTACACTTGACTGAAATTAGTACGTACGTACGTATGTTGTGAGAGGGAAAGTTCGTTCGAAGTGGTCCGGGTCGATCTAACCAAAACGGGTGAAACCTGCCAAATCTACCATAACGATAACCGACAGGACTGACAGAATTGATAGAATTGATAGAATTGGCAGAATTGGCAGAATTGGCAGAATTGGCAGATAAGGATGTAACGATAGAAAAATTCGTAGCGGATTAGTACAATATAAAAAGTGTTTAAACACTAAAATGTCGCTGTGAATAAAAGAATAACTCAACTCACCTTGAATTCAAATACGAATGAATAGTAATAGTAGTTCTCTTTGAGTCTTCTTTGGTTGTAACGTTTTTATTGTATTTCGTATATCGTATTGTCATGTCCCCGTTATCACCGCAGTAATCGTAAAAATATCTTATTCTCGGACCAAATCAATCCACGTATCAATCGAAGCCTACAAGTTAGGGTGTTAAGAGAGGATTTTATTAGATTTAGTAGCGTCCATGTTAGGTTTTTGTTTAGTAGTAACCCTTGTTAGACTAGTTTTTGGTGTTATACCATTTTTCACCGTCACAACGTACCTGATGTTAGATAATCTTACATGCATTGTTTAGCAATTTAGGCAGGTATGATTTTACATTCAAGTGTTTGATGTTGCAACTTAAGTCTATACAACAGTTCAATCATTATTTTTATAGCATCCTGATTTAGTAATGTACGGTACAGTTTTGAGTATTGGGTAAGGTACAGATGTACGGTACAGTTTTGAGTATTGGGTAAGGTACAGAGGTATTTAGTAAAGTAGTACTGTACGGCAGTACAAATTTGGACGGACATACGAAAATTATACCAAATTTTGATCGTACGTACGGTTAATATAGACTTGCAAGTTTCAATTTTTATAAATAGTCCTTTTTGATGGTTAGGGTTAGAGTGAGCGCTAGTATTATCCTTTTTTCATGTTAGGATTATAGGAAAAGTAATTTGGGTTCTACGACTTTTTTCTTTTACAACCGTACGTACTATCATAATTTCTACACATCCGTCCTAATTTACGTTTCCGTACCGTACTACTTTAGTATATACCCAGGTACAGTATATTTCTAAAGTACATATATTTACGTACGTACGTACGTATCTAGTAATTTTTGTGTACCTAGTAGGTACGCAATATAATAGATTAATTTAAGAACTGTACCTAATAAAAAGTTTTATTACCTAGATACGATACAGTTAATATTTTAAATATATGCTAGATTTATAATTTGTGTACATTATAAAAAATTATTTTGTGTACAGTTAGTAATAAAATATGTATTGTTATTTTTTTTTTAGAATATAGTGCGAATAAGTTATTTTCGTAAAAAGCTAAAATAAATTCGCTTTTTTACTAAAAATTATGTAAATATAAATTATTATCTTAAAATTCTCATTTTTGGGCGAAGACTAATACATGTAGTGTAATTTTTAAAATTCTCAATTTCTGGGAAAGATTAATAATATATGTATTAAATTTGGTGGTTTTTAAAATTTTCACTTGCTGCGACGACTAATATTAGGTCTGGCGGTTTTTTAAAATTCTTTTTACTGGCGAAGACTAATATAATATGTTAAAGAAATTCTCATTTGCTACAAGAAGACTAATATTATGTCAGATAGTTTTTAAATACTTATACACTTACGAAGACTAAAACTAGATTTGCATTTGCCGGATGAAGACTAATCGTAAGGGCTAATTTTTTTAGTGATCTAAATAGTAGAACCGATTACTTATAATTCTGGTCAAATTTGCAGATCAATTGGCCAGATTCAAAATTAAATCATTTTGAACTTGGCCAAACGATCGGCAAATTTGACCAGAGTTATAAGTAATCGGTTCTACTATTTAGATCACTAAAAAAATTAGCCCGAATGTATTAAGTCGAACATTTACGTAAAATCATTTGTTGGGCAAAAACTAATATTATATCTGGTGGCTCTGTAAAATTTTATTTGTTGGTAAAGGCCAATATTAGGTTGGATGGTTTTTTATAGTTCTTATTTGCTGGCTGAATGTAATATTAGATCGAGTAGCTTTTTAAAATTCTTATTTGTCGGGTGAGACTAATATTAATTCGAATGTGAAAACTTTTTTTGTAATTTAAAGAAATGTTACTTATTTCTAAACAACAAATTCATTTACAAGCTTTCGCTCTTTATTTATAGTTTCTTAGTGTTACAACAAACAAGTGATTTTTAACTGTTGGGCTTCCAGATCATTGACCATACCGTAAGGCTGTTGTTGACTGTAAGGTTCCTTCTCACGTAGTTTTGCAGGTTTGCGTAATGTCTCAGGTAATCACGTGCGATTATCATATCAGATATAAAATTCAGATCATTAATTTACATTCAAGTACTTACATTTTTTATATTTTGTAAAATATGGCTTATTGGATATGTAACAAAGTAAACAAAATTTGGGAAAACTTGTTCCATAGACACCCTAAACTGCCAAATTTTCATTTAGCAGATGAAAGGTAAGCATGACTTATTCATGTTTTTTTAAGAGATATTCATTGCTAATTTCTATTGTATTCAGCTTGCCTTTCCAGATTGGAAAAAACATTTCGGTTAAAGAGTATAACGATTTTCTTGATCATAACAAATCATCAGGATATAAATTTCACTTTGATAAAAAAAACGTCTATATTATTGAAATGACGTACGCACTACGTGCAGATGTCATATCATATCTTCAAGATTGTTTTAAAGAACCAAATAATAGAGTAAAGCTTGGACCGATAATAGTTTCTGGTCAACCTTGTAAGAGATTTTCATTTAATTCTATTTTCTGGAGCTTATAATAAAAATACGAAATTTTCCAATAGTCCATAACAATCCAATCAGAATTGAAGAAAAAATATCTCCAGACACTGCAGTTTGTCCGAGAGAGAGTCTTGTACAATGAGCAAATCCATATCCTGATTTTCCTTGCGGCGACTTCAAAGTACTTTAATATTTCATTATTATAATACTTATTTTTAAGGCAATTTCTAATTAAAGTTATACAGAGAAATTCCTATGCAAGAATAATTTGCGAAGTTGCTAGTACTCAAAAAATTGATTTATGGAACACAAGATGCGAAACATGGATGCACAAGGAATACGTACGCTGTGTATTTGGAGTTAAAATTTATCCTAAAATAAATATCAAAAGAATTGTTCATCAACCAATAATAGTATGTCCTGTATGTTTAACATCTACAGTATTCATTATTCGATTAGTTTCAATTTTATGGTTTTTTTTTTCTATTATAGGCAAGATTATGGGCACGTCGAGCACTATTAGATGGTGCATTATCCTTAAATGCAACTTTAACAGGAAATAGAATATATGTCAATGAGGTAATATTAATTTACTGTTTGTATTTTTATAATCAGATATCTGGATTAAATAATTTTTGCAAAATGATAGTGGGAATGTGGAACTATACATCATAATACTCATGAACCAACCAGTTGTAATGCTCTGAATAATAATGAATTTCAAGTAACTATTCCTGTTAGAGATGCCTTTTGGGATCCTCCAATTTTGGGTGGAGTTCCAAATGTTGAAAATTATACTGAAGTGATACCCGATAATGTTGTTGGTGAAAATTTTGTTATTGACTTATATGACATACAGCAAGTAGTTCTTAATACAAATTAAAATTCATTATGATTTGACGTATCAAGCGAATAAATTATTTTTATTATATTGTGGTCTAAATTTTAATTGCTTTTAAGGAAAACAATGCATCTGTAGCAATTTCGATTTGATTGACAGCTCACAAAGATTTAGGGTTCTTGCATAAATATTGATTAACCCATTTTTTTCACCCGTTTAAAACATGTGATTATTAAAGTTCAAATACTGTTTTAAATAATGCTCACCTGATTTTTTTAATTTATCTTCACCTGTTTTTAATTACGTGATAAAAAGCATTTGCAATCCCTATAAAGATCTCAATCAATGCTTGAGTAAATTCTAAATAGTTTCTAAAAAAAAAAATGGCACTATAGTGTGTTGATAACGAATTTCATAATAAAAAACATGAAACGCTTGAACTGTAACTCTATTTACTTTAATATATACAAAAAAAGGTGGCTAGAGACAAAAAGTTTTTTGACAAACTTGATGACTATTGAAAAGTTTCTTTGAATTAAGGGTAGAGTGTACGTAGATCATTTTTCATATGATCTCGATAGTACATTTTCTTAATTTTTAATATTTTAAAAATTTTTATTAAGTTAACTG